CAAACATAATAATAAAAATGTTCATTGTGATAAATGAAATAATAATTTGATCTAAGTAAGAGTTTATTTTCTTTCCAATTTTTAAAAAAATCCTTACGTTATAGAAAAAAATGAATATTATTTTTTAAATCTGCATAGCTGAATAATGGAAAATCCATTATTAAAACCAAAACAACTTTTATGAAGTTTAAATTCACAGGCCTGTGTAATCACTCAAAGTCCATGACCACCCAAAAATCTCTGAAGTAGCAAGTCTTGCTAACTCTCATGATATTGTGTAAATAGATTCATGACCCATTGTTCCCCATTACCCATATCTGTATGTGAATCTGGCATAAAAATAGTTCAAGTGAAAAAAATTGTACTTGTATGTACATTATACATACAAAAATATATCTTTTATGTAACAGAAGTATTCTTACACATTCATAAATATCAAAAGCAATATGTTTGTAAAATTGTATTATATAGTGCTTTAGTTTGTTTATAATCACCAGGAGTCTAGATACTTAGGCAATACTTGTATGTCATTATGAGGTCGTTTTGTAAGTCATTTCATCTTGATAATCTGGTACTTTGGTTAACTGATTAACAGAGCTAGGCGAATCACTCAGCCCAAGTTCCAGCTTAGCAATCACAGTATTTTCCTAAGTTGCTTTTACTAATCACAACAATAAAATAAGTAAGCAATCGTGGATGATGTTATTTCCACCCCAGTAATTAGCTGCAAATGAAAAAAAGTGGTTTGAGAATAATAAACCCATTGACACTAATGATAATTTACAGCCTATTTCTGAGCCCATTGATTATTTGAAAAATGTGGCAGCTGAAGAGATTGGGTCGATTTATCATTTTATATGGGGACATTGTTTCTTCAAATTCATCTAATAAGCATAGTAGGACCAATCTAAATGGCACAGTGAATACAAATAGTTTATTCTTCATAAGGGTAGTGGAATGTGATGTCACATATGTGTTGACAATCATGGAAAATCACATTAAATATTTGTCATTGGTTGTTTCAACTATTAGGGAAATGTACTTATACAGTACTAGATATGTAAAGAACAATATTACCCAGTAGTGTAGAAATTCCATCACCTCATATTATACATATTCCAAAAGCTACAGTAGATAACAATGTAACTTGAAATTAGAGAAGGCTGTTATAGTTTTATATAAAACTGCCAGAAACTATTCATATTTAACACAATCTCAGTTATGGTACACAACACAAAGCCATACATAATGTTAATGAATAATAAGTATTGCTTTCTATCAAGCAAATATTTAATATCAAACAACTGACAGACAACTAAGAAAACTTAAAATTATGCTGGTGTTTTTTTGTGGGTTTTTTTTTTGTACCTCACTGTAATGTACATTTAGTTGTTTATGCGAGTGTTATATAATGAGAAAAACAACAACAATACAATGTGACTGTATAATGTCATATAAAGGAACTTCGGGTTCTGTTAAAGAAATATTACTTGAGAACATTTTTTATTTGTACGAGTATCATGTTTAAATCATTCTTGTAGGTATGAACTTCAGTTTACTTTTTTACCAGATCTAACGTGAGCTTCATTTCATGTTTAATTAAGACCAAATGAGAGCCACAAACATGGTATTAAATATATTATATAGTGTGTGAACTTTTCATATTTCTTTACATATTCATTTGAAAAATCTACAGGAACGCTAGTATTGAAATGTCATCTTCTAAGAAGCTGAAATTATAAAGAAACGCTTGTTTTATTTTGAAGTTAGAAGAAATAAAATTAACAAATTATGTTGCTTTTCTGTTATTTTTTGTTTACTCATCTTATACAAATCCAGATTTTATTTTCAGAATATTTTACTTTGTGTAAATTTTGTTTTTGTTTTGTAGATTTGCTCAGAAATATTCGAACTCAGGTCTTAATCAAGTTAATCAAGCCATATACCAGGATACACGTACCTTTTATTTCTAAGGTGAGAAAATTAAACTTCCTCAGTTAAAAGCGAGTCCACCTATATATTACACTTTATATAAACTCTTTTAAAGTGGGAAAATATTCAAATTCTAAGGAAGTTTGTCAGTCATATGTTAGAAATGTTCGGCTTAAATAGTTAAATTTATTAATTCACAGAATTGAATACATAATATACATGTATTTTATCTCCAACTGAGAAAGATTATGGTAACGTTAAGTACACCTATATATTCACTTAAATATATGTACTCCATACATTGATGGTAAAGCAGTTAAAAACTTGAAAGGTTTAAATGGGGGCTCTACCCGGCTGTTCCAACTTTCAAATGCAATTACTTTACCATAGGTTTGACTTAAAAGTCTGTTCAATGCTTATTGTAAAAATTATTGTTGCTACTTTATATTCAGCTATTATTTTGAGCTTATAAGTTTCTTTATATTGAGATTTAACATTGTATTTGCTAAAAACAAAATATACTTAGGTTTTAATAAAAGAAAAATGGAAAATATATTACTTAAAAATAGAAAATTTCATTTTGCGCACGTACGGAAATTACATTTTAAATAGGTTCTGTATCTCTTAAAAGAGAGAATCACAACTTGAGACCATAAATAAATCAGGTTAAATAATAGTATAGTAATGCCCACCAACTAAGAGGAAAGAAATTTGACTTCTAAAGTTAAGTTTATAATGAAGTTATACACTGAGTTAAAACTTTAAAAAAATAGCTTTGATTTTGAAAGCTAGAGAATGGAGTTTGAAATATTTTTATGGCTTTTTTTCATGAGATAAACACTAGTGTTCGTCATTAATCTTTTTGTTCAAACATTGTAGATATCTTAAAGAAAAGCGACAGGGGGAACAAGTGAGATTTCGTTGAATTGGCATTGCATTTTAGATTTTTAATTAGTATCCTATGTTTGCAAAGTAACTGCAAAAAAGGTATTGCTAAAACTAATTTTCTTCATAAATAACAGATTGAGTCAATCGAGAATCATAAATTTTGTAAAAAAATTGGTTAAAATGGTGAAAATAATATGTGATATGTGACATCATTAATACATGTATATGCATGATATTTGTTATGTTTTATAATATTATGGTACAATCACTTAATTGACTAGCATTCACTAAGAATTGTTTTGCAAAATTTTGTTTTTGTCTCTGTAACTGACTTGTGTTCATACAAATGGAATACTTTTATAAGGCTCAAAAACATTTAACTCTGAGTCAAGAAACATTCTTACCTTTTTAATTTATCAGCCACTGGGTTAAAACAATCTCAGTTTTTCTTACAAAAAGAAATAGATACTTTACTTCTAATGTCAATTATTGTTTTCAGAACTTTACAATAACAGTAAATATTTTTGTAAACAGTTGTTTTACTTATGGTTCACTGAAAAAACATCAACTTAAAATATGTAACTAATTAATGTACAGTTATAACTCATACAGTCAGATTTGATTCTTTGTGAAACAATTTAGAATTTGTACAAGAACAGTTTTGGGTTTTAGGGACACGTTATTTTCAGAGGTTAAAGGTCTAAAGGATAATCAATAATTCTTTCATTTTTTTAAAATATTATCATCGAGTTCTTTAAGTTCCAGAACTTTTGTTACAGTCGAACATTAATTTCACGAGGTATAAGCATATTTTCAGTTTTGATTACTACAAAACAAGTGCATACAGGAGCAACGTGTGAGGATAATGTTAGTCACAAATATGTATTATTATGTTATTACTTTGCTGTGAAACCTCAAAGTGGGTTACATGAAATGTGTTGATTTCCTACTTGTGTCTGTGTTTATGTATGGCTCTATAATGGTATCTGGGGCTAACATGAAAAGTTGTCACTTGAGGCAACTTCCAACAAAAGTCAGCGAAGCATGTCAACTTAAGTTTTAAATAGATTTTTTTTTATTTCTGCCTTTAAAAAAATATTGGTACCCCTTAAACATTTGTAATTATTAAAACAAACATTTCTTTTAGTTTAAAAACTTAATTGAATATCATATTTTCTTTATTATGGATTTTTGTCAGATATTAATTATGCCTATTGTTCTGAGAAATTTTTTATGCACTTTTACATAATTTATGTGGTGTATTTGCACGTCTATTTTTTTTCTTTTGCTAGTACCATTCTTAAACTAAAGTCATGATATTATCAGACCTTTCAGAAATATTTTTATACTTCCAGCATTTTCTACCCTAAGTTGATTATTAAAACTTTGAGGTCTTGTAATGTTTGGATTTTTATTTATCTCTACTAATACTAAAGAAAAACTGGTGTTATGAGAATACATATTTTTATCTTTAGAGTGTGGCACTTTTAGTTGGTTATTATAACTGAGTACCATTCAGATAATGAGTGTATATGTGTGAATAACTTATGCTCAATGTGTTTTTAGTATTATGGTTTTTGTAGTTTCTGTAGAGATTAACAAGTGGTTCTGATGTTAAAATGTGTATACTCTTTGCTCTTTGTGTGACCTTTTTAACATGGAAGGAAAGCTGACATGTTCTTGCAAGTGCTTATAAATGAAAACTCTTGACTTGAAGAAGACAGAAATAGCTTAAAATACCAATAAACAATAAAGGTGTTGAGTGGTAGAAACATAACTTACACTCGTATCCCAGGTCTACACTAATAAAGGTGAAATTTCTTTTCTTCACCAAAACTTGAACTTCAGTGAAGAAAAGATGAAGCAGAGGCCTAATCTATTCTTTGATTCTCTACTTCTGATGCAACATACTAATTTCTTGAGATTCATGGCTTGTCAGTACTTCTTAGAATAGTGAAGCAATTAAATGAAGTAGGCCTGATGTAGTGGTGGAACATAAGCAATTTGTTTGGTTCAGATGTATGGTCCTTAACTAACCACTACATTTTTTTTTTCAAGAAAAGAAATTAACAAATAAATAACTAGTTAGTCCACTGAATAATAATGGATAATTAATTGTTACTGTATGTCACATGTTATCCAAACACCTAAAATATTTTAGGTTATTATTGGTGAGTAAAGGACCATACATCTAAAACAAACAAATTTAAAGTTTATTTCTGTAGGGGTCCAAGTACACAGGACACTGTGTGATTGGGAGACTTGACAGTTGCACCTGTGAGTGTTATTATTGATATTTGTTCAAGTGTTTTTTAGATCAGATGATACCCACAGATGGAATTTAATGTAGATAAAGTCCAGGTGTTTTCTAGATCAGATGATACCCATGCATAAAGTTCAGGAGTTTTCTAGATCAGATGATACCCATAGATGGAATTTAATGTAGATAAAGTTCAGGAGTTTTCTAGATCAGATGATACCCATAGATGGAATTTAATGTAGATAAAGTTCAGGTGTTTTCTAGATCAGATGATACCCATGCATGGAATTTAATGTAGATAAAGTTCAGGAGTTTTCTAGATCAGATGATACCCATAGATGGAATTTAATGTAGATAAAGTTCAGGAGTTTTCTAGATCAGATGATACCCATGCATGGAATTTAATGTAGATAAAGTCCAGGTGTTTTCTAGATCAGATGATACCCATGCATGGAATTTAATGTAGATAAAGTCCAGGTGTTTTCTAGATCAGATGATGCCCA